GGGTAAGTCTTATTAGAAGGAGAACAGAAGAGCAGCTTTTGGGTTTGGCTGCAGGTTAGGATGCCCACAATGGAGGATTTGTGTTCAGTTCCTGACTCAGATTTCTAAATCCACTGTTTTCCCGATGCACATGGACCCTGAGAAGCAGCAACTGATGACTCAAGTGATTAGGTCCCTGCAATGCACATGGAGACCTGGACTAACAGAAGCTCGTTCTGGCTCCCAGCCCAGCACCTTTCTGGGCATTTGGGGAATAAGCCAGCAAATAGAATAGAAGTATTCTCTCTCTCTCTCTCTCTGCCTCACAAACTAAAACTAAAGAGTGCGTAGCCACAGTTAGGTAGGCGGAACAATCTGTGGTGTCGCACTGTACAGGAGTCAGGTGACTACAGTCCTACAAAAAGCAGCATGCTGTGTATTTCAGAATGCTTACCAGAGGTAGAACACTCCATTGAACTTCTGAGTCTCAAAAATGACAGATGCTGATAAATGAGTCCCTGCCTTGATTAGGGATACAGTCATAATGCAAAACTTCATGCTCAGTGCCCAACTCCAATGCCAAGAAGCCTCTAAGTCACCTTTCCAAATGGACATCATATTTCTCTTTCCAATCTTCTGTAGTTCCCTCTAAAACCTTTCACTTGGCAACCACATTGTCTTCAAATTACTCCTGTTTTTATGCCAGCCTGGGGGTAGATGTTTAATTCAAGTTTTCTTTAGAACTCACAAGTCAGCAAAATTGGTCTTACCTCTATTTACAGACGAAAAGCTAATGCTCAGAGAGGATGCCCAAGGTTATGCGACATGGAAGAGACAGAACCAGGATTCCCACTAGGCTGTGTGTGACTTCAGAACCTGCACCTTAAAAACCCTGGCCAGGACCGCCTTGTGCAAGAAATACACTAACAATGACCACTCATTATCTCTGTGACCTTGAGTGTGTTACTGACCCTCCTGGTGCCTCAGTCTTCTCAACCTTGAAATAAGAACATTATATCGGGCCTGGTGCAGTAGCCTAGTGGCTAAAGTCCTCGCCTTGCATGTGCTGGGATCCCCATGTGGGCACTGGTTTATGTCCCAGCTACTCCCATCCAGCTCCTTGCGTGTGGCCTGAGAAAGCAGTCAAGGATGGCCCAAACATTGGGAGCACACATGAGAGAACAAGAAGAAGCTTCTGGTTCCTGGCTTCGGATTGGCTCAGCTCCAGCCACTGAGGCCACTTGAGTGGATCAGTGGACAGAAGATCTTCCTCTCTTCTTCTCCTTCTCTCTATAAATCTGATTATCCGATAAAAAATAGATTTTTAAAAAAGATTTATTTATGTTTTATTACAAAGTCAGATATACAGAAAGGAGGAGCGAGAGAGCGGAAAATTTTCCATCCAATGATTCACTCCCCAAGTGGCAGCAACAAGTGGTACTGCGCTGATCCGAAGCCAGGAACCAGGAACCTCCTCCAGGTCTCTCACACGGGTGCAGGGTCCCAAGACTTTGGGCCGTCCTCAACTATCCCAGGCCACAAGCAAGAAGCTGGATGGGAAGTGGAGCTGCCGGGATTAGAACTGGCGTCCACATGGGATGTCGGTGCGTTCAAGGCGAGGACTTTAGCCGCTAGGCCACGCCGCCGGGCCCCAATAAATAGATCTTTTTTTTTTTTTTTAAATGCTACATCACAGGTGTTTCACTGTTGTGAATATTAACAGAGAAGTATGCACACTTTGTAATGGATAACAGTCGTCATTACCCTAAACAGATTTCATGCTCCTACAGAGCAAGTTCTCACATTATACGTGTGTGTCTCATTCAAACGTCAGGAAAGGGTTTTCAGTAGGAACTGAACAACGCCTAGTAGTTTTAGTAAGATGTGAGACACTGAAGGTGGAAACTGATGTCTCATTCCCTGAGGTCTGGGTTCACATCCACATTTCCAACCTTACAAGAAAAATGGCAAACTCCGCACAGCCACCAGAAGTGAGAATTAAACAGTCTGCATGCATATAGCTCGCTGGTGTTTCCTCCACAATAAGGCTTTCAACACTTAACAGTTTGAGAAAGAAAATCCAAATGAAAAATGTCAACATTTTGTAAGAAAACATGCCTGGAAGGAGGGAGAGAAAGCACTGCTTGTTAAGAGAGCGAACAGAGACCTTACTGTTGTGTGCACTATCTGATTTACTGCCCCCTGACTACATCTGTGTCAGAAGCACTGTTAACTCATTGCCCGCCACAGATGCATTGTTAAGGCCATAACATGCTCATCAAATTCCCTGAGGCACATGCCCATTTTCACTAAAAGTAAGATGATGGCATACTGAGGGGAAAGGCCAACATACTCTTCCACAGGACTGTACTAGTTCTGTGACCAGGTAGGCACAGCAAAAAGGAACCACTCTCTGCTGTGTGCTGATACGTGATTCCTGGGAGATCACCCACTATCCTGTTGGCAAAGGATCTGTTTCCAGTGTTTCCTAGTGTACCTCACGGGTTTATTGTGATGGTCAAAGAAAGCAGTATGTGTGGAACTGTTTTACAAACTGGGAATGTAACTACATAATCACTTGCCATTTGTCTTCTGGAAAATCTCTAGTATTAGTAGGGACAGAATATAAATTTCTCTGTGTGTTCAAGGCCAAGGAAAATGGAAAGCAATAACAAAGAGAATTTCTGTTCATCTTTGAGAAAGGATGCAGTAGTTTCTTTCTTTCTTTCTTTTTTTTTTTTTTTTTTTACTATAAAAGCTGTGGAAGCAATAGTTTAGTAAAGTTGAACTGCCCACAATAGACCTACATTCCAAAAAAAAAATAGCCTTACTGGGTTCAGACATGGTTTCCTGAAAGCATTAAAATTGAGTATCAGATCAGGATGTAGTCACTGATTCCAGGAGTGTGGCAGAACTCACATGCTAGGCCGTTTTACCCAGCGCCTCAGAGAATGGAGAATGCAAGCCGTGGTGAGCATGAAGCCACATTGTTGTGATGCCCACATCCACACTACATTGCCTGCTTGGAATCCTGGCTCCAGCTCCTGACTCTAGCTTCCTGCCAATGCAGGCCCTGGTAACAGGAGTGACAGTCTGAGAAATGGGGCTCCTGCATTTCCTGTGGGAGACCTGGATTGAGGATGCAGCTCCCGAACCCAATTCCGACTGAGCACCAGCACTGTGACTACTTGGGGAATGAACAAGTGGATTGGAGCTCTCTGCATCAGAATTTTAAATCTAGGAGATCCTCAGCACTAAGCTCTAGTCTTTCCATATATCTCCGGGCTGGTCATCCACATTCATTTCATAAAATTTATTTATTTATTATGAGTTCATTTTTTACATTAATTAATTAGTTAATTAATTATTCATTTTCAAGAATGACAGGGCAGAGAAAAGGAGATCTTCCATCCACTGGTCCACTTCCCAAATGGCTAGAGCTGCTGGATCAGGCCAAAGCCCAAAAGCCTATTAACTCTATCCAGGGGTCAGCAGGGGCCCAAGTACTTGGGTTACCATTGGCTTCTTTCCCAGGTGGATTAGAAGGGAACTGGATCACAAGCAAAGCAGCCAGGATTTGAATCAGTGCTATAATATGTGAAGCTGGCACTGCACAGGTGGTCGCTTAACCCACTGTGCCACAATGCCAGACCAAACCCAGTAGCTTTCTTAACTACCATGGCAAGAAGATAATAAAGAGAACAATGAGAATTGAGAAATCAAAATTATTCTTATATACAATATGTACTTAGTTTCTCTTTGTGTATTCTTTGCCTTTGGGAAATGTTTGAATTAAACAAAACCACCCATAAAAGCCTAATTATATCTATACTTACTAGCTCACTCCTGAGAGCCTAGCCATTCTTTGATTTGGTCTTACCAACTTTCACCAAATCTCTTAAAGAAAACTGCAATGTCTGAAAGTAGACTATAAGCTAGAAAAGTTCTATGTTGGAGTCTAGCCCAACAAATCAACTCGTTGCCTGATTCAGCTCCCAGCTGATGCGAGTGAGAGGGCACTGGAAGATGGCCAAAGTGCTTGCATTCCTGCACCCATGTGGGAGACGTGGATGAAGTTCCTGGCTCCCAGCTGTGGCCTGGTTCAGTTCTGGCAATTGTAGCCATCTAGGGAGGGAACCAGCTCATGAGTTGTCTCTCTCAATCTTTTTCTCTCTCTTTCACTGTAACTCTGCTTTTCAAATAAATAAAATAAACTATCTTTTTTAAAGTTCCATGTCAAGACACAGTACACATACACAAAGAAAACTGTAAACCTATTTTTTTAAGCCATAATAGCTAAAACACAGAGAAAATGAGCACCAATAATCCTATTTTGACAGGACAAATGCTTCAAACACTGCTTCTGGTCTCCATACAAAAAGACTGAGTTCTATCTTTGAAACAGAAATAACAACATAAATTATTTTGGCACTTGAGCTCCAGAATTCTATGCAAAATGAGCTCTTCCCTCATTCAGAATTTGTCGACCATTTCTCAAACATGCTTCTTCTGGGTGCAACTCCCACTCGCAGATGCCATGTTTCATTGTGTTGAAGTCATTGGCTTTTCTTGCCAACTACCTAACTTCTGCATTCCTTGCTGAAAAATAATTAAAATTATTGCACTAGCTTTGTCCCTGATTAAGATGAGCAGGGCATTTCTATGGAGTGACCTAGGGGGAAAAATGATCTAGTAACATTGATACAACTTATTTCAAGATTTCAACTTTCCTTTAGTAAAGAAAAGATAAAGAAAGAAAACAAGACAGCAAAGGAAAGCAAAGCAAAGAAAGGAAGGAAGAAAGCAAAGAAGGAAGGAAGCGACCTTAGCTGCTTGGTTTTGCTTAACAATCTGATGGATAATGCTGACCTTGTCCTGAGAGACTTTAATTGCAAGAGTCCCCAGACTTCCTGCAAGAAAATGCTTCTGGCCAACTACATCCTAATCTTGCTCTTCTAAGAAGATTTCCCGAGGGGAATGAGCAATCTCCGCTACCCACAATGACAGAGATGGGTACTCACCAAGTGAACGTAAGGCACAAAGTATCCAAAGAGTGCAAGTGGTATTCCAGCTGCCCACACAGCATAAGCTGTCACCTTAAAGATGGCAAAATTGAAAATTTTTTTTGGAGGACTGAACTTTCTTCTGGAAAAGAAGGAGAATCTGCTGCTTTTACTCTCTTTGTCTTTGGCACTGGGAACAAGAGGTCGGTAAGTGAAGCCAGCCAGGAAGAGAACGAACATGAAGATGCAGAGGATCCTCAGCGTGATGAAGAAGTCCACCTTATCAATCAGAAACCTCAGAAGGAAGGGCAGCAGAATCGTGAAGACGCTGCTGCCGGCGGTCACAATGCCATTCACCAGTCCAAGGCGCTTCTTGAAATAGTGTCCCAGAATGACCAGGGAAGGCTGGTATGCAAAGGAGCAGCCGCAGGCGAAGATGATCCCATAAGTAAGGTACAGAGGCTCGATGGAACTGTACAAAGATGAAAAAGATGGAAGGTGGCTTTCAGTGTCTGTCTCATGTGCTCAGTGGAACCAAAATTGCATTCAGTAACAAATTCATCAACACATGTTCCACAAAAAAATAAATAAATAAACCAAAGACACATCAAGAACATAGCACTAAAAATCATTTTAGTTTAATCTGGACATGTGAAAAAAATGACTGTTAAGGTCATCAGTGACTGTTGCTCCTCCTCCTGCCATGGATCTCAGGTGACCTGCACAAGGGGCAAGAACCATCTTTGCAGTTCAGAAGTAAAGACTGGGAACAGGAAGGGCCCCAGTAAAATCGACAGGGATTAAACCGGCAAGCAGAAAAATCTTGTCTCAAAGAGACTTTCTAGGAAACCAGCGTTTAACTCTGAGAAATCATTACTTCCTGGAGTTTTCCTAGGTGTTTATTCAGTATTCTAGCACAAGAAAAAGCTGCATTTGGTATTTTTCACCTGAAGGTTATGTCAGCAACATTTGCACACAGGAGCAGTTGTGCCTCATTTTTGCTGGCCTAAGGGCTGCAGACCAACCTTTGCCCTGGACTGTGCTGTTCCAAGAGTTGAGCAAGATAACAAGAAATCATACTCTGATTGTTTAAAGACTGAATTAAGTATGCTCATCATTAGTGATACTGTTTGTAAGATTTAAGGTTATGCAGCTCTCTCTAAAAAAAACAAAACAAAACAAAACAAACAAACAAAAAAACCAAAAACAAACCCAAGAATTCCGTCGCTTAGCCAAAGAACAGCATATTCCTCTGGAAGGTAAGTGGGTCTATCACTACATTCTTTGAATCAATTAAGGGAATACAAGAAAACTTAAAATGCTTTGAAAGTCAAATTCAAAAGGCTATACATATATCAATAGAGAAGGCAAATAATTTATTAGAAACTAGCAGAGATAATGTTGGTTAATAATTACACTTTGGACAATTGTGCTAGTCTAGCAATCAGTGGGTAATCACAGGGAACCCTAGACTCTGATACAATGAAGGCCTGTTGGCAGCTCTGAGATGCCGCTCCCTCCCGACCCCATGGCCACACTGGCTGCACAGCAGGCTCCAGGTACTTCTGGGTCTCACTAGCTCAACCTCACACCTCTCTCTGATAACTTGCTATGTATCAGGTATTTGCCCAGAGGGAAGAAAAATTTAAATGTGATTCTGACTTCAACTTAATCTCAGCTTGTCTATGGGAGCAAGGCATCTATTCAAATAATAAAAATATGGAATGAAAGATAAAAATCATACTTCATTCTCTGCCATATGGTTAGTTTTTTTTTCAAATAACTGTAATATATATTTTTGGTTATTTATTTATTTATATATAATTTTATGACACAGTTTCATAGGCTCTGGGAATCCCCAGCCCTTCCTCAATCCCTCCCTGCTTATTGAATTCCTCCTGCAATATATGTTTTATTTAGAAATTTTAAGAGAAAACAGAAAATCTATTATATCTTTCTGTGCTTTCTTCAAAGTGTGTATTAAGGGGAGAATTTGGGGGCATGGAAAATATCAGAAATTTTAAAACTTAAATAAAAACAAAATATGCCTTATAAAGTATACATTAAAAATCATGACAACAGTATGAGCACACATCCAGTTCTACCAACGTAGTGTGATGCTGTCAGCTATACACCCAGATTCCCACACATGTAAATCACCAACATTCATCTTGAGCACACTGGTGTGTGTGAAGGTCGGGAGTGACTGGCATGGGGTATTCTCTGCACAGCACAATGGCAGGAAGTCTGTCACAGCACTTTCACATTGCACACATTTTTTCTTCTAGATTTGCACTTCAGATGATCCAAATGGTCCCAGTTGGACACCGAAGAAGCACAGTACAAATCAGTAAGACTAAAAGGGTCCCAGTCACCTGTATCCAAGGGGTGAGAGAAGGGACACCAGGAGGATTTGAGGAGCTGAAGAAGTCATCTGTACCATACTGCCTTTTGCTCTGGTACACTGCATCAAAACCTTGGGAGCCCTGAGCCAGCAGGATTTTTTTAAAAAGGAACTGAACATAAAACAGGAGAACATTACACATAGTAATGCAAATCTGGTTTCAGGTTCTCCTTGGCAGAGGCAGTCAAAAACTGGGTCGCAACATAAAATATATTTGCTAAGTATTTTTTTCTCAGTGGTAGAAAAAGTTTGAAAACTTGCTTGCTCTGTTATGTGTGTTTTGTCTACCAAACAGGGTAAAAGGTTACACAGGTTTCCCACCTCTCAACCCTCTCTCTACCGCAGCCCAAGTGTTGCCACATTCAGCAGGTGGCAGGACCACAGGTACTGACAGTGGACCTGGAGGCCAGCAGATCAAAGATGAGGCATGCCCAGCACAACGCTGGATTGCTGATAACAGTCAGTGACAAACAGATGATCTCAGTCACCTCAACAGATTCTTCTTCCAGGCAAAATGCCCTTTTTTTTTTCTTTAAAAACTTTAGAAGGAAAAAGCACAAGAGTACTTTAAAGATAACTTATCTTTTTTCTCTAAGATGTAAACATGATTTTCCAAAATTCAAATAAAAAGTTTAAATTAGGTGAGAGAATGAAAGGAAGAGGGTCAGAGTTGGGGTGTACAGAAGAAGGAGTGAAGCCAAAGACTCCAGTTATTAACTCCCAAGCATTTAAAAATGAGTGAAGGCAAAGCAAGAAATGCAATTCTGGCTCCCCCCAAACCACATGACCTGAATCATGTAGCAAAAGACAGTGAAGGAAGGGAAAAGGCAGGAGAATGCAGCCGAATCACATGTAGAGACAGGAAGGAAACGATCTTAACAGGTTTTCCTGTTAGCTAGAGCTGCAGATTAAACCAGTGTACCTCTAGTTCAGGACCTCTCTCACCCAGCAGGAGAACAGGAGCAGGGCACAGGGGTTTCATTTGGGGCTAGAAGGTTCCCTTTTGAGGATACTACCTTTTTTGCAGATTCAGGGAAAGCATTTTGACACTAAGTTTTATTTATTTTTTTTTTTTAAATAATCTTAGTTTATTAGGGTACAAAGGGTCACGGGCTACAGGGTGAAAGTGGGTAATATCATTGTTTCCACATTAATATAATCATTTTGCCCTGTATCTAGGGTTAGGGGAGTAACAAAGGGGAAAGCCCCATCCTACCTCCCACCCATCCCCGCCGATCCCCAGCATGAGGCGCGCTCCAAGGGTCCTGCTCATACAGTTTTGATAGTTCATCAGTTCCGGATTGCTGCCAATCTCTCCGTCCCAACCGTAATGAAACCTATTCAGAGTCCACTGGCTGACAGTCTCTTGATGGTTGGGGTTCCAAGATCAGCAGTTCAGTTCGAGAAATATCCAAAGAAACTTCATCTGAGTTGATCCCAGATCCGATTCTTGAGTGAGTTTGCTAGTACAGACTCCAACACTGTTCGTCACACCAATCAGCTTATGCGTATGCTGGTCGTTGCGATTGCTGGGTCCGTTCGGCTTCCAGCCCTGTCTTCCTTGTGAACCAATGGGTGTTGTAGTCCAGCTCGATTCTACCCACTTCATACTCGGTCTTTACGCAAACCAGTTGGAGCTGCAGCCTAGTTGGGGCGACTCCCCAAAACCCCTACCAGTTCTGCCCCCTACCCTGGTTCCCATGCTTGCCAGTATGCACTGCAGGCTTGTCCAGTCTGTACCACATCCCAATTAGCTCTCGCACACGTCAATGGACATTGAAGCCTAGTTCAACCCAACCAAACTATTATCCAGCCCATACACCTACTGGCAGGTGCCTTTCTGTCAAGCCACCCCTGCTTCTAGCCTGGGTTTCGTGCTGTCCAGTGAGGGTGGTAACCCTGAGGGAGGTGCCCACTATTTCCCTACTAGGCCACACCCACTCCCAGAGTATGCAGTCTCCAGGTGGTTTTGGCATTTGACTTGACAGAATTAGCTCCTAGTGCCAGCCTCTGCCAGCTAACGCTGTGGCTAAGCCCAAACACCCCTCAACCCACTCTAATTTTAACTTGCACCAGTCAGAACAGTCAGCTCACCGTGAGGCCCACAGGTGCTATAGCCCTGCCTAGTCTGAACTGCCCCCATCCGTATTCACACTTTCCAATGGAAGTAGTTATCCAGCAGGGGTGCCCACGTTCCCCTGTTGGCTTTGCCTCCTCCCTGATTGTCACATGTGCTGTTTGTGTGCTGCAGCCACATCTGGTACGGCTCATCTCACCTTGGCATTACTTGTTGTGTACTGGTATGTGTTGCAACCGAACCCGGCTCGACCCACACTCTGTTCTGGTGCTTGGATTCACCAGAAGGTAATGTGAACAGATTCAGGCTGGTCTGCCCCCAACCCATGCCATGTGTATGCCAGTGGGATAATTTTCATTGCCTGTTCTTGGTTGTTCCCTATTGTGCTTCTTGCGCTTACCTGCATGGGACTGTGTCCTGCCAGAGAAGTTGCCCAGGCTTCTCCACCAGAACCTCTCCCACTGCCAGTTTTCGCGCATACCAGTGGGTCCATGAGCCAGCACTACTCAGTTCGCCTGCTATCCTAGGAGGAACAGTGGCTTTTCCTGCCTGGCCTCCGAACCAAGCTGGTTCTTGTTGTTGGATATTTCAACCCAGCCATGGCTCTTCCATACCCCTACCCAGCTCACACATGGTTCAGTAAGGGCTGAGACCTAACCTAGTCTGTCACACAACCCTCCCCGGTCCTCCAGAGCACCAGATGGTGTTGGAATTTGGCCTGGCTTGGTGCTTCCCATCCCAGTCCACAATTGTGCCAAGTGAGATTATGATTGTATCCTGATCAGAATGTAGCCTCAGTTCCAGCCCATGCGCTCCTTGGTGGGAAACTCAACCCAGCTAGGGTGTCCTGTTATTTCCCCAACCGGGCCTCTGCCCTGCCATAGAGCAGGTGTAGGCCGGTGGTTGGTCTGTCTCCGCTTGGCAGAGCCCCTCACTTGTCCTGGCCCCTTGGATGCTGTGGCTTAGTGCCTCTGCCTCACACAGATCAGTATGTGCAAGGACCTACCTGGCATGAGCTGTGCTCCAACCTGATTTCTGTTGTTTCTTGTGAGTTAAGGTTTGTTCAGCCCTGCCCATTCTGCCCCCTTCCAGTGGCAGCCCGGCCCACCCCACATCCTATTTAAAGATGCACATTTGGGTGCTGCTGCCTTGACCTACCCTGACTGTTGTGGATTCCTTTACCCATGAGTGATGGCAGATGGCGTGGTCACACCTAGCTTAGACCATTGCAACCCCAGCTTGGGAACTAACCTGGGGGACTTGTATTCCAAAGGGTTGGGCCCACACAACCCCACAGAGTCTACCCCCAGCCCAAGTTCTCTTGTGTGCTGGACAGTGTCTTGATCCTGCCAAATGTGACCACTCCACAACTCCAACACTCAGTAGGGCAATGGTACCCAACACTGCCAAAGAGGCCCCCATCCATAGCTTCAGTGTGGGCTAGTATGTGGTGATCAGTGATGTTCTATACTAATATCCCATCTCTGTATTCATAATTGAGCTGTTGCATCTGTCTTACTAAAATTATCTTCTGGACACTTCCCCCAAACCACTAAGTCTTGGTCCCCTTGCCTGCTTAAATCTTTCATGACCCTGTCACTGAGAATACCCGAAAATTCACTTTGCACCTACACTCAACCTAGTCTTAGTCATGAGTGACCCCAGGCAGCAACTACATATCTTGAAAACCCCAGAGTTCGCCCTTCCGGGCGGCCAGCAGGCAATGCCTGGCACCACTTGGTGCACTGGCCACCCTGGGGGAGGCCGAGGACTCGTTCACTGCCTTGTGGCAGTGTCTTTGGCGTGAGTCCCCCGCATTGGGTCCGACCCGGCAGGGGCACCCCCCACAGTCGCCACACTGCAGGGAGCGTCAGTTGCCCCCAAGCCCAAGGACCGAACTCCTCCCAAACTCCCCCAGCCGCATGGTCTTAGCAGCTGGGCGGAGCTAGGAATTTCCACCCAGTTCCCAAGTTCCCTCATGGCGGACTTACCCTGAGGGAAGAGCTCTCTTGGGTCCTGGGGGAGGCCGAGGACTCGTTCACTGCCTTGTGGCAGTGTCTTTGGCGTGAGTCCCCCGCATTGGGTCCGACCCGGCAGGGGCACCCCCCACAGTCGCCACACTGCAGGGAGCGTCAGTTGCCCCAGAGCCCAAGGACCGAACTACTAAGTTTTATTTTAAGGTGCACCTGGCCATTTTGCCTTAAAGCTTGAAAATATTACCTTTTTAAGTACAGATAAGAATTCACCATCTGGATTGGCATCAACAGCAGGATTTTTGAAACCATGCATAAAAAAATATTTTATATCAAATCGGCACTGCAGGCAAAACCTCAAATCCTCAAGCTCTGCTGTGCTGTGTGGGCAGTGCTAAAATTCTGCAAGTGCTGCTGCACAGTTTAAGCCATTTACAAGGGGATCTACCCTTGCAAAGGTAAAGCTTCTAAAAGAACAACATGAAAGGGTCTAACAGTTCTTCAAAAGTGCAACATAAAGAAACCAAGTCCTTACCTTACAAAAGAACTAGACATGAGTCCAATGAACCCGATGGCGGCACCCACAACGGCTGTTTTCCGACAACCAAATAAGTCTGTGAAGACGCTGACTATCGGGCAGCAAAAGAAAATCATTCCCATGGACAGCGAGCCTACCCATGCTGTAAAAACAATGGGGAGAGAAGAAGGGAGGATGTTATGGCACCTGAATTACATTTGTGTTTATTCTACAGAACACACATTTGAAAAAACTTTGAACTTAGAAAGCTATGATTCAAGACGGCCAAACAAAAAGAGCTGGGAGAAGCCATGGCTCAAAGCCCTGGTTGATGTTAATAAGTGTAATGTGCATGGAACCACATGCATTTAATCAAATTCTTGAAAGCTATACTTTTTTAAAAAAAACTTTTTCCATTTTTTATTATATTTTTCACAATCTTTGCACAATCAATTAAGGTAAAAAGATTCAAGGGCTACAGGAAACTGGGTAAGACTATTACTTCCATAATGTTTCAATGTATCTGAGGTAAAGGGGGTTTTAAGGGAGAAGCCCCACCCAGTCTCCCACCCACCCCAGGTCCCTGATGTGGACATGCTCCGAGGGTCTTGCTCAAGTGGTTTTGATAGTTCACCAGTTATAAATTGCTGCCAATCATCTCCACTCCAAGCACAATGAGGTCGTTGAAGGAGCCACTGATTCACATAGTCCAACACAGAGTCTCCATTTGCCTAGTTCTTTTACTGCCAATATATGGCTGAGGTGGTTGATTGACTTGTTCTGTCCTCTGTCTTTTCATGGTTAGAGTTCTGAGTCTGGCAGTTTGATTGGGGAGATCCCCAAAGAAACTTTGTCTGAGGTGTTCTCAGACCAGATTCTCATGTGTACTAGCAAGCACAGGGCCCGGCACAGTCCATCAACCAAATCAGCTAGTGGTTGCAATTGCTGGGTTGGTTCTGTTTCCAGCCCTGACTTCCACTGGAACCAATGGGTGTTGTAGTCCAGCCTGGTTCTGGCCAGCACACACTCGGCCCTCACATAAACCAGAGAGCTGCAGCCTAGTCAGAGCGACCCACAATAACCCCCACCCGTCCCACCTCCTACACTGGTTTCCCAGTATGTGCAGCACAGGCTTGTCCAGTCTGTCCCACATCCCATTCAGCTCTCATACATGTCAATGGGTATTAAAGCCTAGTTCCATCTAACCAGCTCAACTATCCAGCCATCACAAATGTTGTTGGGTGCCTTTCTATCTGGTTTTTGTGCTCTCCAATGGGAGTAGTAACCCAAGAGGGAGGAGCCCACTATTTCCCTACCAGGCCACTCTGACTCCCAGATTATGCACTCTCCAGGTGGTTCTGTGGTTTGACTTGACAGAATTAGCCCCCAATGCCAGCTTCTGCCAGCTGGCACCAGTAGGAACAATCAACTCAGCATGATTTTTCCCTGATCTAGCTCACATGAGGCCCACAGGTGTTGTAGCCCTGCTTAGTTTGCTCTGCCCCCATCCCAGCTCTCACTCTCCAGTGACAGTAGCTGTCCAGCAAGAAAATCCTCCCCTTATCCCCTGCCAGCTCCGCCCCCTCCCTTCCTGGTTCTCATGTGGGCTGGTTGGGTGCTGTGGTCACATCCGACATAGGTAACCTCACCTTGGCATTCCGTATTGTGCACGGGTTTTTGTCACAACTGAACCTGGCTCGACCCACACTCTGTTCTGGTGTTCGGATTCTCCAGTGGATGACGTGAACTGATTCAGCCTGGTCTGCCCCTGACCCATACCAAATGTACGCCAGTGGGAAACTTTCCATGGCCTGTTCTGGGCTGTTTCCTATCATGCTTCTTGTGTTTACCTGCACGGACTGTGTCCTGCCAGAGGATTTGCCTAGCCCCCGAGACTTCCCCCTTGGGTGTACTCACCCCGGCGTACTCCCCCCAAATGGGGCAGCCCCTGAAGCCCAGACAGGCCTGGGGACAGCTCACCACGTGCATGTGGTGGCTGGAATCAGGGATCTGAGCATGAAGCTAAAGTTGTACTATCAAACATTCTAAACACCCCCCTCTATCTCTACACTGAGATCTAGATGATTTAAAGCAATTTCTAATTGATAAAAAGAAAATCTATTGTGAAAACAGATGTTTAGGATTAAACTGCAAAAGAATACCACCTAATGAAATCAGGATAGTGGTAACTTTGGGCAGGAAGGACAGAGGATTTTTCATCATTTGGACTGAGGATTTACAAAGTGGTCATTTGCATACAGTCTAGGATTAGCTGTTTTGCAAAGGAAATTAACTGATCCAGCAGACTCTCTTACTGTCACTGAGTTTTCAGTTTATACTACCACAGATATATATAGTATTATGTCTATATATAGTCAAATATATATTGTTGTCAAATCTGAAAATGTTATCTTTTACAGCCAAAAATTCAGAATTGAAAGTCAGAACTTGTTGTTCCAATTCTGTGAAAGCTCAAACAAAAGAAAACTGAAATAAGAGAAATACTGAATATAAATCATCATAATTCGAGGTTAAAACAATGAGTGATTTTATAAAGTATCAAGCCTGTAAGTTACTCTGAAAAAGTTTTATAAACACGAACTACACAACAAGCAGACCTGAGTCAAACCCCACTTGTACAACTACAGTTTGTCCCTGGGCAAGCCAATTATCTTCTGAATCTGCTCTCTTATCTTGAAGATGGATCAAAAGCACACCTTTTGTGTTGTGAAGGATTAGAGAAAGTGCATGTAAACCTCAGGACCTGGCACAGACATACTTAGTGTTTTCATAGCGGTAACAGTAACAAATTGTCTGCCTTACCAAAAGAAGTAGATCAATACTAGAGCTCCCCCAGCTCTGAAAGTCTCAACACTCAGTTTCCTTTGCAAATCCATGCCCTACGCAAATTATCAATTTTGGGAAGGATTCATTTATTTTACCTTTCATTTATTTGAAAGGTAAAATAATGTGGGAAGGAGAGAGTAAGGCACACACATATACACACAGAGCAGGGAGGAGGTCTTCCATCCACTGGCTCGCTATTATGGTTCAAGTCAGGAACCAGGAACTGCAGCTGGGTGCCGCACACAGGTGGCAGGAATCCAAAAACTGGGTCATCTTCCACTGCATTCCCAAGCACAATTAGCAGGGAACTGAACTAGAAATAGAGGAGGTACTCAAACCAGCACTCTGATGTGGGATACAGCTTATGCCACAGTACCACAAAGTCAGCTCCCCAAATAATCATTTCTTAATAATTTAGTCCATATGGAGCTTTATCACACTAATAACTCTGCTTCATCCTGTCTAATTATAAATTATTTATATGTACCTTAATTCACCATATTGCTACTTCCTCTTCTCCCTTCGCTGAAATAAAACTGTCGGCTGAAGACAAAACACAATGAAGAGATTGTGCAAACATCTTGACTTGGTTGCTGGTGGGAATTCAGAGGTGAGCAGCAGGGAGAAGCTGACTGACCCAAGCCTGCAGAGCCATCTAATGAGGCTCTGCTGGAGAAGAGGAAGGAACACTTCAGTCTACTATCACACACAAAAATTTCATCCATCTTCAGTAATTCAATCCTATCAAGAAACGGCTAGCCGTCCATCATGTTTAAGTATATAGAAAATTAGAAGGAAAATATTCTAACAACTATTTTTAGGTAACAATACTTTAGCAGTTAAATAAGGTGCTCACCTAACAATAGACTACATCAAGATATCCAAACGCATTTAATAAACCAGCAGGTGATGGCTCAAGTATGTGAGTACCTGACATGTATATGAAAGACCAAATCAAATCAAGTTCTGGGTTCCTGGTTTTGGCCCCGGCCAGCCCAGTTGCTACAGGCAGATTAAACCAGCACAGATTAAAAACAAACAAACAAATAACTCCTTTTTTTCTCTCTGTCCCTGCCTCCTGCCCTACTCTTCAAATAAGAGTAACTCAAGAGCATCTACTTATATTGAATGTGAGTATGAGACAAGAAGCAAGGTACTTTTAAAAAAGAAACCCTTGCACAAGATATGGGAAACTGCCATGGATTTTGATTTACTGCTGTATCAAATGTGAAAAATCATAGAATAAGTACTAACAACTGGATATAGTCAAATACAACTTCTTGCCTTGACCATCCTTCTAAAATGTTTTCAGTGGTGAAAATCCCTTAAATGCCACAGATGACCACCTTTAGCAGGCACAGATGATTCTGTCAATGTAATTTAACAGAAAGGCTTATGCTTACTGTAGTAACAAGCCAGCCTTCACCTGGTAATCCAGTCTTTTCCCAGCCCCAGGGAAGCCTGAGAGGGACTGAAGAGGTCTCGCCCCCCTCCCCAGCTGTTAGCCATCTCTAAGATGGGTATGGAAGAGAAAAGCTGGGAGAAGAAAGGAGGTAACAACTTGCAGTCTTGTCAGAGATCTCGCAGTGCTGTAAGCGGATTTGTTTTCTCAGATACATTTTTATGGATGTTTTAGAGTGTTAAGGCACAATTCCTTCTACCTAGAGCTCCACTAACTTGGATACTGCATTTTCCTTCCAGCTTTTTGGCTGTCACTCAACAGTCTAGTTGCTGGGGCCTCACTGTCCTTTCAGGCAATCTACCTGGACATCAGTTAAAACAACTCCAGACTACTGCTTCTCCTCCATCCGGCCCAGCTTTGATTTGTACAAACCACTTACCGGCCCTGAAGCAGATTCCATCATGGCAGTGGGAACAGTTAACCAGGCATGGTTCCCTCTTTGTTGGATTTCTTGGGTACCCCAACAAGACCTCAGAAAAGCCCCTTGAAAGTCCCTCACTGGACAATAAGCGAGGGACATTTCACTCACTCATGCCCTAGGATAGTTGGAAAAAGTCAAAGCATAATTTTCTCAAGAATCCTGCCAAAATGTGCTTTCTTGATCCCCTAAGGTTCCTTACGGTTTTTAGAACTTCTCACAGGGAGAAAAAAGGCAATATCTACCAAGTCACATGAAATACCTCATTTGTGAAATTCACACTAGTATGTATCAGTGCCTCAGCTAAAATTCCAACGGAATATTCCAGCAGAATAGTCATTACTTCACAAATGAAGTTAGGCCTATCTTCTGATCAAATTCAAGAAAAAAAATCAATTCTTACATGACAATCATTTGCCAATATAATCTCACAAAC